GTCGGCCGTTACCAAAGTAGTGGAAACTTGGCTGGTGGACTGAGCGGACTTGGGAGCAGTTACGGAGGCTTTGGTAGCGCCAGCAACAGTGCACCAAGCTTTGGTAGCGCCAGCAACAGTGCACCAAGCTTTGGACACTACCAAAGCGGTAGCAATGGCATCAGCAGTGGTGGTGGTTTTGGCAGCGGCATAAGCGGAGGTTTCAGCGGTATTGGTGGCAGCTCCTTCAATGCTGGCTTTGGTGGACGACAACAATCGGGCGGTTTTGAAACTCCCCTTGTACACAAACAATTCATAACCGTTTCAGCGCCAGAGGATCATGAATCGCTTGAGCAAAGCAAGCATTTCGTTATTGGACGCCCACAAAAGAACTATCGTGTTGTCTTTATTAAGGCGCCATCCTCGAGCTCAGCTAATGTCAAATTGTCTGCGGAATATGCGCCACAAGAAGAAAAGACTGTCATTTATGTGTTGTCCAAAAAGGACTCCACACTCGAGGTCAACGATATAGCCACACCCGCACCCACAGTGCCCGCCAAACCAGAGGTATTCTTTATCAAATACAAGACCGAAGAAGAGGCGCATCATGCGCAACAACAAATTCAAGGTAAGTAAAAGCAACAAAGTGTAATAAATACTACACTAACTAGCTACTATTAATGGCGAATATTTTTCTGCTTACAGCCGAGTATGATAAAATCGAAGGCACATCCGAGCACACCAATGGCGGCATTGGCCAACAACAATCGGTTGTTGGTATACTGGATGGTGGCGTTGGTTCAGCCAGTGGCAGCCATGGCGTTGGCGGTGGTATTGCTGGTAGCAGTTATGGCTCTGGAAGTGGTGTTGGCATTGGTGACATTAGTGGTAGTGGCTTCGTTGGTGCTTCCAGTGCAAGCATTGGTGTTAGCCAAAGCGGTTCCGGTTCAAGTGGCGCTAAATCATCCACCTACTTGCCACCATCCAAAGTAGTGTAAGAGGCCAAAAATTTAGCGTTTTTTCAGATTATTTTGTTATGACAAGTGGATTGTAGAAAAAAAAATGTAAACAACTGAGATTACTTAAAAAAATTATTGTTAAAATGTTACTCAAATAAATAAACGATATTCCTTTTTTGAATAAAAAATACTTATATGTATATTGGAAGTCCTAATATATAACTAAATTGTTGGTGATTTTAAAAAGTAAAAAAATAACCCCAATTGGGAATGTGAACATATTTATGAAAGAAAAACTTGAGTAATGTATAGCAAATGTATAAACACTCAGGGTATTCTCTAAGTCTTGCAAAACTCTGCACGGTGCAAATGGAATGCATCGTAGAACCATGCAACCCGTACACCGTGCAGGGGTTTGCCAGATTTTGAAGTAAGTATTATCACAATTATTTTTAGTTCTCGCCCCTTGTGCATGCTAGATTCTACTGGCAGGTTTTCGAGCATACCATCAAAAATCGGTTTGAATAAACAAAAAACCAATATATATTAAGATAACAGATTTTTCGGTCAGCTATTATCATTATTCAAGGACTTGTATTGTCAAACTCCTTTCATAATAATTATAAGAGAGATAAATATTCTTAAGTCTTCAAAGACTTTTATTTTAAGATTTCTATTATAAAAGTCTTTTCACAATAATTATGAGTGCGAAAAAATGTTTAAGGCTTAAAAGAAGGGGCTTGTTCAGGACTATTTCAGGATTGGTTCGGGACTATTTCTGGGCCAGTTCGGGGCTAGTTGTGAGCCAAACAATACGGTTTAATGGCAACCATAGATGTTAAGAATGCATTCAATTCCACAAAACACTGAAGGTAACAAGATATCTGCAAAAAATTATCTCCAGCTGTCTCAGCGAAAGTGTTGCGCTACCGCAACGACAATGTATTCATGGAGTATGAAGTAATGGCGGGTCTACCCCAGGGAGCAGTATTAGGCCCTTTTTTGCAAAAAACCATGTATGATGGCATCCTACAGCTTGCAGTTCCTACATGAGGATCGGCGTTACAGCTAAAACGCTTGTCAAAATCGTAGCCATCGCGGAGAGATCTATAAAAGCAGCTGACGCGGTTAGGCTTTCGATGCTTCCTGCTCTAAAAAAAATAAAGAAACCAAGTAAAGAAGGAAAGATGTATAAGCTCGGACGTAACCGAACTTTATATACCCGGCACACGTATTCAATATTAAACTGAATCATAAGCAAGAGTATTTTACCCGATGTCAAACAGTTTCGATAATATGCTATGAGATATTGAATTAATTGGAGCAAGTTTGGTGGAAATCGTTAAGGGGGTTATCAATATACACTTACGTATGTATGTAGTGATAAATGTGTGGTGCCATGCCCATTTTTCGAAAATCAATAATATTGTTTCTTGTTAAGAGATTGTTGTAAGTTGGCGTGTTTAGTTATTGAAAAATCGGAGTTTTCGTATTTCTGAAATTGACTGTTATATGGTGGGTACGCTAATTTTAGTCCGATTTCAAAAATTTTCAACCGAGGTTGGTAGAAATTGATAAACCGGTTACCGAGATGTAGGCGTAAGTGGAGGGCGCCACACATTTCTTTAAGTAGCATTTTCTACTGGGAGGTCATTGTATATATCGATTTTGAGTAAATTAGCTTAAATAGTTTTCGTTTTTCTGTAAACTACCATTATATGAGTGGTGGGCGAGGTTCTTGTCTGATTTAAAAAATTGTCAAAGGGTTTCTTAGTGAGGCTCTACAGAGGTACAGTATTTCACCGTAAGTGGGCAGTGCTACTCCAATTTTCAAAAACTTTCATAACTACATATATTATTTTATGCCAAAATTCTAAACTACTTTCAACAGAATTTACGGAAATATTGTAGATTTTGTATTTTTCGAAAATACCGTTATATAGTTTTGAATCCCAACCTACCTTGGGTAAAGGGAAACTTACTTACCAAATTTCGTGGACATATCTCAATTTTTTTTTTAGAGTTGTCGTGTACACGGACAGATATGGCTTAATCGATTTCTCATTTCATTCTGAGCATTTATTTATACATTTGTCTATATATCTATCTCGATTCGTTTCGGCTGTTACAAACAACGGTTATGCGAACAAAGTTATAATACCCTTGTGCACAGGTGCGCTCGGGTATAAAAATTCGCGCACAAAGGAACTTCAAGTACTCAATATAAAACGCGAATATATATTTCAGAGCCAGGGCGAGGGAGCTATTACTCGAATACAATAGATGTTTTAAGTTACTCTTTTGCTCCTGAGGAAAACCTGTTAACTAGCAAGTGGATTGCGTGAAAAGACATCGAGAGTAATTAGAACCACTGTCGACACCTTTTCAGGTCGCTTCTTAATAATCGCTTTCAGTCAGAACTTCTTTAAATCAACCCCCACTAAAAGTCCACATTGTGTAATTTTTCCAACGCTAACGATATGAAAGGGCAGTTTTATCCCTGTAGTAAAATTTAGAGACAGTCTGACGAAGCGCTAGTTCCGAACTACATGTATCACAACTATCTCCCGTACAATACAAAAGCAGCTCAGCGAAAAGACCTCCGACTCAAGCATCGTTCATTTGCGAGTTCAAGTCGCAGTGGAGGCAGTTGTGAGTATTCAAATTTAATGAATTTAAATTGTAGCGTACAGATTACAAAAAATTTTTTTATAAAATATGTAACAAAAATGGAATGTGTAAAAGAAAAAAAACTGTCCAAAACGGAACCGGTTGAAAAACTAGTTGCAAAGTAATGCACAGGGCGACAGTTGCCACCGCCAATGACATCACCGTGTAAAACTGGACAGTTGAAAGCATTTCTGGGATATTGAACTAGAACTAGTACTGTCAAAATTCTTAATGCTCTTCCGGCAGTTTGACAGTTTCCACAAACTCGCCTGGAAAACTAGTCCAGGCGACTGCGAGCTAGTGAGAAGCAAAAATAACTCTCTCACAGTGGCTCTCAACAGCCCGAGTACCAACGAAATAAACACAAATTGGGCACTTTCGGGCACCCGCACGCGACTAAATATTTTTGTTATTAAACTACTACTACTAGCACTGACGCACAAATGGGAAAATGTAGAAATATGCAAGAAGTGGCTACCAATTGCGAAAAACCCGGGTTTTTAGGACCAGTTACCAATTTAATTGTATAATGGTTATATCAAAAATTAATTCGCTTCTTCAAATTCGAAAAATTCCTTTTTTTTTTTGGTACAGAGTACCGATTTCGTAAAAAGCGGAATTGCCCCGCCCATTTTTTATATGTGTAAAGAGCAAAACCGAATTTAAAAATTTATTGAACAAATCGTCCCCTCAATATAACAATAGCGTATGTGCTCATACGCCATTATTTTTTTATTGCATATTTAGAATCTCCATCATTGATTCTATGTCTGGTCAAAATTTCGTCAAATTCTACTTCCACAAAGTGGGTCAAAATGTCATTGGAAAAAATGGTGTATAATTTCTTGTTCAAAAATTT